GTACAATGAAAGATACATAGATCAATGGAACAGAATCGAGAATCCATAAATTAACCCATCTACATACAGCCAACTGATTTTTGACAAAACACCTAAATATATCGCCTAGGGAAGTGATAGTCTCTTCAACAGATGGTGCTGGCAAAACTGAAAAATGATACGCAAAAGATCGAAAGACCTTCACGTCACACCTTATACAAAAACCAACTCAGCATGGATTAAAGACCTAAATGTGAATCCCAGAATTATGAAGGCCATCAATGAAAAAATCGGGACAGATGTGAGGGCACCAATTCAGGGAATACACAGACTACAAAACGTTTTGAAAACCACACAAATAAAAGTAGACAAAATAGATGAGTGGGACATACTAAAAATTAAAAACAGAAAAAGAGGAAGATCCCCCCAGTGAGATGGATTGGCAGAGTGGCAGCATCAATGGGCTCAAGCATGGCAATGACAGTGAGGCTGGCCCAGGATAGGGCAGTGTTTCATTCTGCTGTGTATAAGGTCGCTATGAGTTGGTACCGACTCAATGGCACCTAACAACAACAATAACAAGATAAGCACTGGACCACAAGGTCGGTTTGAACCACAGGGTCTGTGGTTCAAACTCACTAGCTGCACCTTGGAAACCCTATCCAGGGTCACTAGGAGTCAGAACCAACTCAGAGGCACTTAACAACAACAACAATTTTATTGTAATGGAAATGGATTTATTGTGATGAATTCATCCTGAAGAAGTAATCCAAAATAAATCTCTATCCTTCACTCAGGCCTGGAGAGATTGTGTATTTCCTTGCTCAGATGGGGCAAAAGCATAGCAAACACCAAGGGAGTACTATTGAATTTGTTTTCTACTGTTACCTTTTTTTCTCCTTGATGTAAACATTTTACTGTTCTGTCATTTGATATACTTTTACTTTTCTTGTTAACCATGACCCCGAGATTTTGGATACAACTAACAATATTTATACATACTACGGGGCTTCCTAAAGTTCATGGAAAAATGGAATCAAATGATAATGGAATTTTTCTACATACTTTTTGGAGCCCCCTCATATATTTATATGACTCAGACAGGATATGATTTTATTTCAAGTAAAGACAGTTATATGGACAAGGGCTTTAGAAATGTATTTGTGACATGAAATTATTTATGGAAAAGGTTTTATTGTATGGAACATGGATGGCTCAGTGATAGAGATCTTAAAATCAGCACAGGAAATCTGGGTTCAATTTCCAGCCAATGTACTTCATGAGCAGCCACTAGAGCCTCCAGACTAAGATGGAGTAGGAAGAAAGGCCTGGTGATCCACTTATGAAAATCATTCAGTAGAAATCCTATGAATCACAATAGTCCAATCTACAATCTATCCTCAGGATGGTACAGGACCAGGTGACGTTTCATTCCACTGTGAATGAGTTTGCCATGAGTTAGGGGCCAACTCAACAGTAGCTAACAACAACGACTATACATTGTTTATAATAGATATCACAAAAGTTATATATTTTGATAGTATATTAAATCCACCAAGCCCTCCCTAATAACCTTGTTGTTGTTTGTGTAGAGTCATTTTCAGCTCATAGAAACCTAATAGGACAAGATAAAACTGACCCATAGGGTTTCTAAGGCTATAAATCTTTATAGAACCAGACTGTCACATCGTTCTTTCTGTGTGTGGCTTTGAACCACCAACCTTTGGGTTAGCAGCTGGCCACTTTAACCACTGTGCCACCAGGGCTGCTCAAATGATCATGGTTTATAGAATTCCAGAGAAAGGTGGACATCATTTGGAACTAAATGTGAAGCGAAAGTTGTTAAATCAATAACATGTCCAGAGATGTGGGTAAAAGGCTATGCTGAATATTAGTTTATAATGGTTAGCAATGTGATTATTACATGGTTTATATGCAATAAAACATTTTATTTTAAAGAAATAATCCATTGTGTAAATGATTTCTAGTTTGAAAACCATTCACTGATAAAGACAGACCCAGTTGGATTCCCTTTGTCTGAATTCAGGAGATGTCCATTTTGGGAGCAAGAACTGGCAAAGAAATACTCTTATAAAATGGTATGTATGCATGCTTGGGAAAGATGAGTTTTTCATGCCGTGTGATCCTTTAGGGCATTAAATGTCTTCTTATTTTGATTTTGATCATGGCTGTGCAGGATGGAGCAGTATTCACCTTCTCCCAGACTTGTGAAAACCAACATTCCCTCCTGGGTTGCTAGTGGTGAGAAAGCTCAGGTCATCTCCTCGTGTCCTATAGCAGGGGTGGGAAACATCCGGCCAACAAAATCATTTGGCCTGGCCCTGCCAAAGACAACCTCAGGTGGGACTTGAAATTCAATAAATCTCAAGCGCACCAGTTGCTCCTCGGAAACCCTGTTGTAGGGTCGCTGTGGGTCAGATCCGACTCGATGGCACTTAACAACAACAAAGGAAACTTTTTTATAGCAATATTTATATTTATATTAAGTGAATCATAATAGCACCGTAACTTTTAAGGGATAAGCAAGAAACCAGACACATACGAGTACATAATGAGACAGACATGTATGTTTCTCATCGGCTGCCTGTGGCCCATCTGCCTGTATTGTGGTGCCTCAGAGAATAGTCACAGCCAGGCAAGCTGGGCGTGTCCACGTTATGAAAGTGTTAACACGCCGTGGTGAAACTATGGCAATGAGATGATTCCTCAGGATGTGGATGATTTTGTCTCCCATAATTGACGACAATGCTGTCGACTTCTATGTCAGCACAGACAATGACTCCAATACAGACGTTATCCACACGTCCACCATCAACAGTCCTTGCAAAAACGGAATCTCAGATGAAGAGTAAGGAAGTTACTGTGCACAGAAAAGACTTTAAGAGTCTATGATACAAACATTGGATATGTGCCAAATACAAGATGCAGGATTAGAACAGCGATCAAAGCAACATTGCTGGTGACAGACACACTGGATAGTTATTAAAACTCAAGTGGTGTGACATCCTACAAATGGCAACTAAAAGAAAACACAAGTTGAAGCAGAGTGTTGTTCTTTCCAAGGGAAATGGACAAATGATTGTGTTTTTTGTTGAAGTCACAGGCAAACCTGTGTGCCTAGTTTGTGGCGATGTGTTAGCACTAATGAAAAAAGCCAATATGGAGCGTCCTTGCAGCTGAAAACATGCTAAACTCAGTAAGTTGGGAGGTCAAGTGCATCTGGATAAAATCAATGCTCCTCATTGGAATTTGGAATCACAACAAACAGCTTTCACTAGACCTCATTGTGACAGAGACAAAATTATCCAGACAAGTTATGTAGTAAGCGAGCTAATTGCAAAGAAGCATCATGTCGAGGGAGAGTTTGTGAACGAGTGCATGGTGCCTGCTGCAGAGCTGGTAGCACCGAAGTAAAATTGTTTCAGTATTCTTTTGTCTAGGAGAACCGTCTCAGATCAGATTACTGATTTAGCACAAGATGTTGGAAAAACATTGAAGGATTCTGCAAGACATGTCCAGTTTTTCTCTCTGGCTTATGACAAAACAATGGGCATAACAAATTTGGCCCACAGTTTGACCCTCAATTTCTAGCCTAGTGTGTGTTCCTTGGAAACTCTTCCAGATGACTTTGGAATCTTTCATTCCCCATCTTATTCTGTTATTGATGTGTGGCTCGGTAAATCTTCCTTTGCAACTTTGATTTCCAATTTTTATTCAGAATATCGGAAAGGTTTCCTAATTGCAAAAAGAAAGAACGGGTTCCCATTTGGGGGTGGGTAAGCAGAGACAGATAGCAAAAGCTCAGAAAAAGTAGAGAAAGAGAGGTCTACAGAATAGCTGCAGAGTTTGGGATCTTGTTTAAGGTTCTGGCCGCCAGTTTCCTGTGCCCACCTATGGAGAAATCTGCCTGTAGAAGCAAAATATGGCAATTTCTAAATCGATCTGGCAGCCATGGCAGCCAGCAGCCAGAGGTCCTGAGGTCGGAGGGCAGGTCCACAGCCAAGCGGAGGCAGTAATCCAGCGCTAGAAGCTTGCACATCTGCAGGGAGAGGTGTGACCGATTTTTCATCTTTCATTTTTCATTTTATTGCGATAAATGCACATATTCAAAAAGAAGAAAGAATCAAAATTAACACATTAACACATTATCTCCAACAACTAGAAACAGACCATCAGAGGAAACCTATAGTCACCAAAAGAAAAGAAATAATAAAGATCAGAGCAGAAATAAATGAGACAGAAAATAGGAAAACTATAGAAAGAATCAACAGGACAAGAAGCTGATTCTTTGAAAGGATTAGTAAAATTGGCAAACCATTGGAAAACCTAACAAAAAAAGAGAAAAGACACAAATAACTCACATTAGAAACCACATGGGTGATGTCACAACAGAACCAAAGGAAATCAAAAGGATAATAACAGAATACTATGAAGAGTTGTACTCCAACAAATTTGAAAACTTAGAAGAGATGGATACATTTTTAGAAAAACACGACCTACCTAAACTCACACAGAGTGAAATAGAAGACTTAAACAGATCTATAACAATAGAAGAAATTGATCAGGCCTTAAAAAAACTCCCAACCAAAAGAAGTCAAGGCCCAGATGGCTTCACTGTTGAGGTCTACCAGACATTCAGGGAACAGCTGTCACCAATTCTACTCACATTATTCCAAAATATAGAGGAGGATGGAAAACATCCTAATACATTTTATGAACCAAGCATAACCCTCATATCAAAACCAGGGAAGGACATCACTAAGAAAGAAAATTATAGACCAATATCCCTCATGAACATAGGCGCAAAAATTCTCAACAAAATCCTATCCAACAGAATCCAGCACCACATCAAAAAATAATACATCATGACCAAGTGGGATTCATATCAGGGATGCAAGGATGGTTTAACATTAGAAAAACAATCAATGTAACCCACCATATAAACAAGAAAAAGAAAAAACCCACATGATCATATCGATTGATGCAGAAAAGGCATTTGACAAAATCCAACATCCATTCCTGATAAAAACATTCAACAAAGTAGGAATTGAAGGGAAATTCCTCAATATAATCAAGAGCATATATACAAAACCAATAGCCTACATTCCTCTCAATGGAGAAAAACTGAAAGCCTGCGAACAGGAACCAGTCAAGGATGCCCTTTGTCACCACTCCTATTCAATATTGTGCTGGAAGCTTTGCCAGAGCTATATGGCAAGATAGGGAAATCAAAGGCATCAGAATTGGCAAAGAGGAAGTAAAACTCTCTTTATTTGCAGACGATATGATCCTCCTATACGTAGAAAACCCTAAAAAAAAAAAAAAAAAAAGCTACTAGACCTCATTGGAGGATTCAGTAAAGTGGCAGGATATAAGATCAACATCCAAAAGTCAATTGGATTCCTCTATATCAATAATGAAAAGGACATTAGGAAAGCAATACAATTTACAATAGCCACACAAAGGATGAAATATCTAGGAACAAATGTAACCAGAGAAACAAACAATCTATACAAAGAAAACTACAGAACACTACTATAAGACACCAAAAGAGACCTACTAAAATGGAAGACTATACCATGCTCCTGGATAGGAAGACTTAACATTATGAAAATGTCAATACTGCCCAAAGCATTTTACACATATAATGCAATCCCAATCCAGATTCCAAAGATATTCTTCATAGAGATGGAAAAAACAATTACAAACTTTATATGGAAAGGGAAGAGACCCAGGATAAGCAAAGCACTGCTTAAGAAGAAGAACAAGGTGGGAAGCCACTCACTCCCTGATTTCAAATTTTACTACATGGCTACAGTGGTCAAAACAGCCTGGTACTGATATAAAGAAATGTACATTGATCAATGGAATAGAATTGAGAATCAACAAATAAACCCATCCACATAGAGTCAACTGATTTTTGACAAAGTATCTAAGTTTGTTGCATGGATAGGAGGTAGTATCATCAACAGATGATGCTGGCAGAATTGGAAAGCGATATGCAAAAGACTGAAGCAAGACCTTTACCTCACGCCCTATACAAAAACCAACTCAACATGGATTAAAGACCTAAATGTGAATCCCAGAATTACAAATGCCATTAATGAAAAGGTAGGGACAAATGTGAGGGCTCTAATATAGGGCATACACAGACTAGAAAACATTTTGAAAATTATACAAACAAAAATACACAAATTGGATGAATGGTACATACTAAAAATTAAAAACTTATGTGCATCAAAAAGACTTAAAAGAGTAAAAAGTGAGCCACAGAATGGGAAAAAATCTTTTGCAATGACACATCAGACAAGGGACTAATTTCTAAACTATATAGGAACCTACAACACCTCTACAAGAAAAGGACAGATAACCCAATTAAAATATGGGCACAGGACATGAATAGACACTTCACCAAGGAGAAGATCCAGGCAGCCAAGAAACATATGAAGAAAGGTTCACGATCACTAGCCATTTGTTGTTGTTAGGTGCCATTGAGTTGATACTGACTCATAGCGACCTACGCACAGCAGAACAAAACACTTCCCGATCCTGGGCCAACCTCACTACTGTTGCCATGCTTGAGTCCATCGATGCTGCCACTTG